CGAGGTTTTGTGCTATAGAACGTGGCGCTTCAAAAATTAAAAATTGAACTTGCAGAACCTCAAAGAAACATCTTGCTACCAATTCGGTCACAGGCACAGCGCCTGTGCCAGGGCTACGCGCATCCGCCACCCACCAGACATGTCCTTGGTGGCCTGCGAACGACGCGACAAGACCCATATTTCGCAATGCCGTCCTCCCCTCTGTCAACTGCTTCAGGTCACCTCCGAACTCCGAAAGGCCCCATAACCCATAGTGCCTTCTGCATCATCTGCGGGGAGAAGCCCAGACCGTGGAGCAGCTCGCAGGCCCTGCCGAGGTTCTCGGGACTCCGCAAACAAACAGTTGCCAAGAGTCTCTTTCAGCCTCGGCTCGAAGGTTGAAGGGTCCATCTTGTCCAACTTGTCACCGATGACCTGGACAGTGTCGGAAATCTTCCTTGCAAGTTCACCTTGGCCAAGCCTCTCATGCAACAGTCGCACGAGTCGTCGTCGATCTCCTCGTCGTCGTAGTACTAATCGTCACAGTAGTAGTATAAGTGGCAGCTGCAGAAGCAGTGGTAAAGTCGTCGTCGGCGTCGTCACCGCAGTAGTCGCAGCCGTAGCCGTAGCCGTAGCCGTAGCCGTAGCCGTAGTCCTTAGTCGTCGTCATCGTCGTCCTCGTCGTGGCAGCAGGAGCGGAGCACAAGAACAGCAGCAGTGATGCTATAGTAGCAGTAGCAGCGGTAACAGTGCAGTGGCAGTAGCAGTAGCGATAACACTATCACTAGCAGCAGCCAGTAGCAGCGGCGGTAGCACTAGCAGTAGCACAGGCAGTGCCACTAGCACTAGCACTAGCAGTAGCAGCAGCAACAGCAGCAGGAGCACGAGCAGTAGCAACAGCAGCAGCAGCAGCAGCAGCAGCAGCAGTAGCAGTAGCTGTAGCTGTAGCTGTACCAGGAACAGGAGCAGGAGCAGCAGCAGTAGCGGTAGCAGGAGCAGGAGCAGGAGGAGGAGGAGGAGCAGGAGTACTAGTAGTAGTTGTAGTAGTAGTCGTCGTCGTCGTCGTGGTCGTAGTCGTCGCCGTCGTCGTCGTCGTAGCACTACTATTACTACTAGCCACCTTCCCTACCAACCACCTGGCGCCTAAACCCATCACCATCATCGTTAGTGTTTTTTTGGACTACAACATCACGAAAGTACTGTAAATACCGACTAAAACGGATGTGCTCTTAAACAGTGTTTAGGAAAGGTGGTTGGTAGGCGGTGCTCCTACTCCTCCTCCTCCTCCTC